CACTTAGACAATTGTCAATTTCTCTGACGTAGAAATTATACAAAAGGGGGCTTAAACATGAGCCCTGGGGGAGACCCATGTAACTAAATCGAGAAGCTGTAGAGTTTCCATGAGAAAAGCTCATATGTTTCTCTGACAGCAAATTGTACAAAAAGTTATTAATTAATGGGGAAAGGCCACAAGCGTGGAGTTTGTCTGAAAGGACTTCAACCGATACTGAATCAAAAGCCCCCTTAATATCCAAGAACACAGAAGCCATTTGCTCTTTTTTAGCAAATGCCAACTGGATTTCTGTGGAAAGCAACGCGAGACAGTCGTTCGTTCCCTTACCCCTACGGAAACCAAATTGAGTATCTGAGAGTAGGTGGTTCGTCTCAACCCATTTGTCGAGGCGAAAAAGGATCATTTTCTCCAACAATTTTCGAATGCACGATAACATCGCGATGGGACGATACGAGTTATGATCTGACGCGGGTTTTCCAGGCTTTTTAATGGCTATAACTCTCACTCGCCTCCAATCATCTGGAACAATATTGAACTCCAGGAACTGACAAAACAAGTTCAACATGCGCCTCTTAGCGACGTCTGGGAGGTTCTTCAACAAGTCGAACTTGATCCTATCAGCCCCCGGAGCCGAATTGCGACACGAAAGGAGCGCGAGTGAGAGCTCCAGCATTGAAAAAGGCTGGCTGATCTCGTCTACCGAATTCGTCGTTTCGCGAGGAATCATCTGTGCCGGCACGGAATCAGGACATACTTTTCGCGCGAACTTGAGAATCCACCGATCCGAGTACTCCTCGCTCTCGTTGTTTGAAGACCGGTTACGCATCCTTCGCGCCGTGTTCCAAAGCGTATTCATCGACGTTTCGCGCGATAAACCGTCCACGAATTGCCGCCAGTATCCGCGTTTCTTGGCTTTGATGAGGCTCTTGAGTTCGTGTTCAAGAGTCGAGTACGCTTCGAAATACTCGGGTGTTCCGCGTTTCCGGAAAAGCTTAAACGCGTCGGACTTTTTACGATAAACCTCAGTGCATTGCTGGTCCCACCAAGGGGTAGGAGGTTTCCTACGAAAAGACGTTCCTGGAACCGGCCGAGTTTGAGCTCGAAGCGCGCTGTCCAAGATCAGATTGGAGAGGAAGTTATATTCCTCCAACGGTGGAAGCTCTTCTACCGACGACACGGCTTCATCTATCGCGGTCTTGAACGTTGTCCAATCGATATTACGGGTGAGGTCGTACGCGACGTTAACGGATTCCGACGGATTGAACCCACTGGCAATCGAAATTTTGATCGGCAAGTGATCACTACCGTGGGGATCCTGGATCACATTCCACGTGCAATCCAACGATAATGAATTAGAGCAAAGTGTGAGGTCTAATCTACTTCCATTTGAGGATGGACCAGCCAGACGTGTTACTTCTCCATTGTTAAGAATTGTCATATTGAAGTTATCACAGAGGTCATATATCAAAGTAGAACGGTTGTCATCATACAGTTCCCCCCAGCCTGTACCGTGGGAATTAAAATCTCCCATAATCAACCGTGGAGTAGGAAGAACTGAACAGATATCTGAAAGTTGTTTTTGACTAATCGAAACTCGGGGAGGAATATACACAGAAGCAATACAAAGGCTCTTGCCTTTAACAAAAGCCTGACATGCGACAACTTCAATACCTGGAAATTGTGGAAGATTCACTCTATAGAAGGAATGGCACTTTTTGATCCCCAAAAGTACTCCTCCTCCACGCGAATCCTCACGATCCAGTCGAATAATGTTAAAATCATGAAAAGGAAGATCGATATCTGAAGAGAGCCAAGTTTCACACAGAGCAAATGCATCACAATCATTATTGTGAACCAAAAACTTAAACGATTCTATCTTAGGAATAAGACTTCGACAATTCCACTGTATAACAGTGATCAAATCCCCGACCTCGTTTGGAAAATTATCCATCGAAGGAGATGATTGCTGCAAGGAGGGGCCACTTCAATGTCAACTGCTTCAAGAGGGTTTTCACAGTAGGAAGCATTGCCAGAACAATGCTTTTCAGAGGATCAGAAATATCGAGGTAATTGAGGATACTGTCCACAATGTTATCAAATGAGAACAACCCAGATGAAGAAGGGGCTTGTGTTCTGAAAATTGGGGCATCGGGGGTTTTGGATGTCCCCGGGAGAGGTGGAAAATCCTGGGTATAATCAGTTCTGCGGAATCCAGGAGGAGTAGAAGTCTCCTTTTTTCCACCACTCCTTGATTTGGGCAAGCTGATTTGGGGTTCTTGATCTGCAACTTTCCGCGAACGGATGCGTTTTCGTTTCCGGGCAGAACCTTCCGGAAAACTGAAAGAAACTCCCTCCTCAGCGAAGTCAGAGCCAGACTCGTCATCTGACAAAAGAGCGAAGGGATTTGTTTCGTTGGTCGATGGCTTGGCTGTCTTAAGCATTTCTGCAAAAGACCGCCTGGAACGTTCTTTAAGAGAGCGCTCTAGTTTTTCCCCGCGTTGTTTATACACCGGACACGACGAGAGACCATGAGGAGGAGATCCTTTGCAGTACACGCATTTTGGTGCCGTGACTGTGCAGGCGCCATCCTCGTGCTTCTCCCCGCATTTGGAACAGCGTGCCTTGCTGCCACAGTGAGAGGCCGTATGTCCCAACTGTTTGCAGTTTTGGCAGATCATGACCCGAGGAACAAACAAGCGCACAGGTAGCCGAAGTTTTCCCAACTCGATGTACTGAGGAAGGGCTGAACCAGAAAAGGTCACGCGAAACGAGTCTGTGGGGGTAAAACTCTTTTTACCCTCGCTGACAGATACTGAGCCCAGTTTTTGGACATCCAGTATCTTCACCGGGGGGAGCAAGGGGTTCTTGAAACGGCCAACCGCCTGCTTCTCCAAGATCTCGGGGGTCAGACTCGCTTCGGTGACCACACCTTCGATCTCCACATCACGAGCTGGTATGTAAACCCTGTACTCAATCGTAAAGAGCTGGGAGGCAGCAATCTCGTTAGCCTGCTTCAGGTTAGAAACGACAACACGAAGTTTATTATGCCTAACCTTCGTGATTTCGGTCACGGCCGAGTATCGCTTCGTCAGATCAGTGGAAATTTGCATCAAGTTCAAAGGTTTGTTTTTGGGCTGAAAGTAGACAACCCATGGCCCAGTCGAGTCATCTGGATAGGCTCGCGATCGGGGGCTTTTCTGAGACGAACCATGAATGACAGGACGTTTTCGTCTTTTCTTGCCATCGAGTGGCAAACTGGTTTCATCTTCCGACAAAATGTCCATATCGTCTTCTGACGAGACGTCCATTTTGCCGTACTAGTGGGAGCGGTAAACGCTCTACCACTGAAACGATGCTTAAAACCACACAGACACAATAAACAGAAAAAAACTACAAACACAGAAACACAAAATTAAATTTAACTGATGGGCGAGAGAAAGAAACAGGAAAAAAAAACTTATCTGCTATACTACTACCACCGAGTGATTACACAGCAGCAGCGGAGCGACGCGCAGCGTGGGTGACCTTCGATGCGCGTGTGCGGGCGATCTTTGTAGTGGTGTGCTTGTATTAGGCTCGGCACTCAGCTGGACACACGATGATGGATGACCGGTATAAATGCGGAGGCAGATGCTGACACTCGATGACGATGATCTGTGTGCAGGTATGCGTGATCACGCACCGATGGCAAAATGGTTGGCGAATTGGCAATCGCAAAAACAATTTTCCTTCCGATGATGCCGAAAACACACTTTCTTCTCAGAAAAAAACTCACTTTCAGATAATTGTTTAGCCGGGTACTATGCCAGTAATCACTAAGCGAGAAAAAACTGATAATTTAAACCAACCGAATACCGAGAAAACTTCCGAAATACCGGAGCGCGAAACAAGTCGACTGTACTTCTTGCTAGGTCGCAGTGGGGGGGGAGCGCTTCCTTTGTGTTTGTGAATTATGGGTGCAAACCTTCATTTCACGCGTTCTAATTGACTTCGTTCGGTAGCTTTTTAACTATATTATCGTACCAAACGCATAATTGACTTGTTACCGCCGAAATAATGGATTTATTTGAAGTTTACTGCTCGATAGGCTCAAAATGGGCGATTAGGCCGAAGTAGTTCTCTACCCTTTATCTTCGAAACTTCTTTATTCACTCTCAATTTTCGAGAACAAATGTTTTAATTATTCCAAGATGCTCTACACATTTTTTAAGTGAATTGTTGCGCTATCGTTCGATTCGGTTATGGAATGAACTACCGAGGGACAGCAAGAAGTTCAACAATATTTAAAAACTTATGCAGCAACTACTTCAGTTAGGTTAATAGGTACATCCGTAATGTAATGGTAGCATATACTCTGAAAATCATTAATAGATTACTTGTGCTATTATTATTGTATTGTATAAATAAATAAATAAAATAAGTCATTTACTTGATTTAATTATGTTTTTGGTTTGTCAACATAAAAAGTAAACCATAACCTAGGCTTTCGAAGCTACTTTAAAATGCCAATAAGATATAATTTTAGTAACGATAAAAGACAGTTTTGCAATAAAATGACACACGATATTAATGCACAATATTCTGAAAAAGATTATGTCTTGCTTCAGAAATAATACAATTAAAGAGAACGAAAGTGCTGCAATTTCATCATCTTTGCGAATATACATTTGATAACTCGCTATCACATTTTGGGCACTTAAGGAACAACAAAAGATTCGTTCAGAGTATGGCCGCTTATTGATACCTTTCTCATCCTGTTGTAGCGTTGCCCGTTATCTTCGCATGGCGTTTCTACTGATAATGTTATTTACTGTCCGGTCAAATGCCGTCTACTTCGTGAAGGTACAATTTTGGCACATTTAAAATCAGCAGCGTTCGTTGTTATCTCTTTGATTGTTGTAATTGAGTCTTACAAAAAGCTTATAATCCCCATTATCATATTAAACTGTTGACTTGAATGTTTGTACAAATACGTTAATGAGATCCTCTCTTTTCAGAGCCGAAGATGGCTTCCGTGCGCAACCGAAGGGTTTTGCTACTAAGGCGATACACGTGGGTCAAGAAGCGGAACAGTGGTCTAGTCGTGCCGTTGTGCCTCCCATCAGCATGAGTACAACGTTCAAACAGTTCGGTCCGGGTCAGCATGCTGTAAGATTATGCGCCATTAGTTAAACTGTAATATGTTTAAGTATTGATCTATTTCTTCTAGGGATTCGAATATGGTCGCAGCGGTAACCCTACCCGCGATGTGTTGGAGAAATGTCTTGCCTCGTTGGATAACGGCAAATATGGTCTGACGTTCTCCTCTGGTCTTGGGGTAACAACGACCGTGATTACAATGCTAAGTTCTGGAGATCACATTGTTGCCGGGGATGATTTGTACGGCGGTACCAATCGGTTGTTGAGAAATGTGGCTATGAAAATGAATATCGAGGTCGACTTTGTCGATTGTACTAATTTGGCAAAGGTTGAAGCTGCGGTGAAGCCAAACACGAAACTGTTTTGGATTGAAACCCCAACAAATCCCCTGTTGAAGGTGGTTGACATTGTGGCAGTCAGCAAAGTGGCGCACAAATTTCCCGGGGTATGATATGAAGCGTCATTTTTCACTTTCATAGTTTATAAAACTGAGTATTCTTGCTTCAGGTTGTGGTTGTGGTGGACAACACTTTCTTGTCGGCATATCTTCAACGTCCACTCGATTTGGGTGCCGACATTGTTATGTACTCCTTGACCAAATACATGAATGGACATTCCGATGTAATAATGGGAGCTGCTATCATGAATGATGAAGCCCTATATGAGAAGCTCAAGTTTCTACAGAACGGTAGGATCCTATTCATAATGTTTTCAAGCAAAATGATTTCTTTGTAGAATGCGGTTAATGATACATTTAAAAAGCCTAGATCAAATTTCATTGATTGACTAATCCTTCTTAACAGCTGTCGGTATCGTTCCATCGCCATTCGATTGTTACCTGGTAAACCGTAGCTTGAAGACGCTAGCCCTGCGCATGGAGCGACACAAATCCAACTCATTGACCGTAGCCAAGTATCTCGAAAAACATCCGAAAGTGGAACGCGTGCTGCACCCTGGCCTACCATCGCATCCACAGCATGAACTAGCCAAGAAACAAACCTACGGACACAGTGGCATTATGTCCTTCTACATCAAAGGTGGTATAGACGAATCTACTGTGTTCCTCAAGGCCCTGGAGGTGTTCACGCTGGCGGAAAGTCTCGGTGGATATGAAAGTCTTGCAGAAGTACCGTCAGTTATGACACATGCCTCCGTACCGGCGGAGCAGCGTGCTGCCCTGGGTATCAGTGATAACTTGATCAGAATTTCAGTGGGTTTGGAAGACGCAGATGATCTGATCATGGATCTGAAGCAGGCACTTGAGCAACTCTAATTTATGTAGTAAATTATGTGTGTAGATTTTAAAGGGGAATTACATGTTATGTGAAGTTTTTAACAAGTTTTAAAAAAGCCATTATAGAACGTCTAAAAATTGTAACAGAGTAAGGTAGAACAAAAAGAAATGTTAAGAACACGTAAAAAATAAAATCCAATGTTTTCACAGTTGTTTGTCTGGTGAATCTTTTGTTCACCGAAGTTTGAGTGAGTATCGGACTGAATAAAAAAACTTTGTTGTTATACATACACTTGGAACTTGCATTTGCCTTCTATAATTTACTTGAGTGCAGTGATGAAAAAAATCATAACAATTCTATGACTCGTGAACTGTTCCCTTACTAAACTTCGCCTTATTCTAACGAGGTAACAAGCGGGAATGATTTAATGCATCAATTGGGTTATTCTTAACACTCCTCCTTAAGGTGAAAGTGAGTGTGAGTGAGTAAATAAAAATTTCAATAATTGTTTTCTATGAGACATCACTGTTCACACACATTCTAGCATCTGTCTGGGTCGGTGCCGTGAAATGGCCGAATTCCCGAGACAGTCACTATCGGAACAATTATGTGAGTAGTTTAACCACGTAACTGGCTTCTTCGCGGGTGTACAAACAGATAATACAGAAAAATTTTAGTTAGTCACAATCAGTTTATTTGAACACGGAACACTTATCTTCTTGGTCAGGTATATTATGCGTATATTTAGGACAGTTACTCCCCCTTATTCTGCGAGTCACGTGACTCTCTGTCACCGGTGAGGTGACAATTGTCACCTCGTGTGAAGTGACTCTCCATGTAAATCAAATGGAGAGTCACCTCACACGAGGTGACTATTGTCACCTCACCGGTGACAGAGAGCCACGTGACTCGCAGAATAGGGTTGACTATCTGGTCAACTTAAGACTAATGCCTTATATCTATGGAACTGATTTGGGTTTTATAGTTAGTCTCAAACTTTGAACCGTTTTCCTTATCCAACTCAGTTGCTGTTCGTCTCAATTAAAAATTGCGGCTACTGTTGACTAACCGTTGGACTAGCGTATCGCCACAGAACAGAAGTGGAACTTCGGATAACAAAGTTGCTCGACTCTTTTGGCGAACACTAGCGCACGTAGCGGTAGAAGGCATCTTTTGCCTGCAGTCAAGATAGGCAGCATGCTATGATAGTGTGAGTGCACATAGAAGCCCGTGTGGAACGCATCGCTTGTTGAGCAGAAAAAACGAGCCACTTTTTGATTCACCGATTTGTTTGCACTTCCCCTTCTGTTCTGTGGTATCGCTGTTTTTCCTGGTATCATCCTTCGTTCGTACGTTTTTATTCACTCGGCTACGTCATTACTGACTGCTCTTGTCAACTGTGTACTTTTGCTTTCATATGATATCCTGGTAGTGCTTAAGCCTTGATCAAATGCCCGCAGTTATGACTCCCTTCTTTCTTCCTAGTAGATCTAACGGGATTCCCCGTGACGAGCTCTCCAGCCTGGCGCTGAAAAGTGGTACCCACTACCCACTCGTGGGCTTCAACGGACTTGTTCCGCTGATCTTTAGACTACATCCATGAAGCTTGCAATTGAAATCAATCAATATGTTTGCATGTGTTTGACCTGATACTGGTTCTGCCAATCTTGATGCTACCCAGAGCTTCGACTTCGGTTGCTTGGGGAACCGATTCACCACTGCTTCTGTTTCGGTTCACTGCTGCTACTGATCACTCCGTTTACTGTAACTTGCTGTTGCTTCTGATTGTATACTTTAACTGATCTGGCGCTCCCATTCGCCACGCCTTACCAAGTCTTGCAAGTATGTATTGAGTTTGGGAATGGAGCACATATGTTGAAGACACATTCTACGTGACGTTACAGCGGTTTTTGCCTGTTTTGACGTAGGACTACGTCTTTGTCGACCGTACAGGGGCGCAAATAAAAAAAAGTGTGACGAAATAGTGTCAGGTTTGGAACGCTTATAACATGAACATTTATTAATGAAATTCAGATTTAATTAAACCATTAGATTCAGATTGAATGTAAGATTTCTTTGGTATAAAGCCCGACCAACCATTCGTGAAACTTCTTCAAAGTTCTTTATACAGAAATAAAGATTTATGTCGGCAATTCTTTACTTTAAATTTTCTATGATTTTGATGTACACATTTAAAAATCTTTTTTGATCGATACTTACATTATAGATTATTTCTTCATCGGTCATATGATAGTAATCTATTAAGGTGCCATACTAATTTTCTTTTAATTTCGATATGTCACATAGACTTTAGTATTCTTTGCAAATATTCATCAATAAATATTTAAATACTGATATCATCGTAACTTTGAACTTTGACAAAGAACAACAAAGATTGCTATCGATGCACATTTATAATCTCCTTGTTATCGATTTGCATCGCTTTTTAAAGAGAGTTCGAGACACACCAGGTGACAGATGGCAATGTTTATATTATTTATCGACATATTCGGCATTTCATCGGAAGAAGCAATCTGCCGGTAAATGAACGAGAAGACCGATGGCCGCGACGCAGCAAATGTTTACAATTGTAGTTCTTCAAGTTTACGTCTATATATTTAATAACCCGTTATAGCATGCGTGGTGGGATTCTCGGCATTTGGAACCCAATGAGGAAAATTGATACCTTTCTGACCTCTATTACATTTTTGAGACTATTACATGGCTGACTGGTTGATGGTTATGACAAATAAATTTATATAAATATTGAATTCATGTACAGAAATTTCAATACACCACATAAAGGGTGATACGGTCAAAATTTGGTCAATATCAACTTGACGTATTTCTTTCAATTTTGCATTTAAAAAACCTGAACACCCCTCATTTTGAAGGTGTGTGTGTGTAGAATGTTGCTCCTATTTTGATTTTGGAATTCACTCTTCAGTTGTCAAAATGCCGTCCAAGCAAGAAGAGCAGCGTATCAAAATTTTGCTCGCGCATCGCGAAAATCCGAGCTACTCGCACGCAAAGTTGGCAAAATCGCTAAAAGTTGCCAAATCAACCGTTACAAATGTAATTAAAGTGTTTGGGGAACGTTTGTCGACAGCCAGGAAGTCTGGATCGGGGGGAAATCGAAAACCGGAAGCCGCTGAAACGACAACGAGAGTTGCCGGTAGTTTCAAGCGAAATCCTAACCTCTCTCTCCGAGATGCCGCAAATAAGCTGGGTGTATCGTCTACAACCGTGCATCGAGCCAAAAAACGAGCCGGACTATCGACTTACAAGAAGGTAGTGACTCCAAATCGCGATGATAAACAAAATACGACGGCCAAAGCGCGATCCCGGAGGCTGTACACGACGATGCTGACGAAGTTTGACTGCGTGGTAATGGACGACGAAACCTACGTCAAAGCCGACTACAAGCAGCTTCCGGGACAGGAGTTTTATACGGCAAAAGGAAGGGGAAAGGTAGCAGATGTTTTCAAGCACATGAAACTGTCAAAGTTCGCAAAGAAATATCTGGTTTGGCAAGCCATCTGTACCTGTGGCTTGAAAAGCAGCATTTTCATAGCTTCCGGGACTGTCAACCAAGAAATTTACGTGAAAGAGTGTTTGAATAAACGTCTGCTGCCTTTCCTGAAGAAACACGGTTGTTCCGTACTGTTTTGGCCGGATTTGGCATCTTGCCATTACGGTAAAAAGGCCATGGAGTGGTACGCCGCCAACAACGTGCAGGTGGTTCCCAAGGACAAGAACCCTCCCAACACGCCAGAGCTCCGCCAAATTGAGAAATACTGGGCTATTGTCAAGCGGAACCTAAAGAAGACAAAAAAAAAACTGCTAAGAGCGAGCAGCAGTTCAAGGCAAACTGGCTTTCTGCGGCGAAGAAGGTGGACAAGGTGGCTGTACAAAATCTGATGGCAGGGGTCAAGCGTATGGCCCGGCAATTCGGATTTGGAAAAGCGGAAGCCTAACTGAATATTTTTCCTGAATTTTATACTAATTGAACTTGAAAAAGAAATTTAATTTGATTTTTTAAATAAACGATTTCACCGATTTACACGCGTTTTCCCTTGACCAAATTTTGACCGTATCACCCTTTACAAATTCCTCTGCTGTTAACAATGGTCATCGAGGAACAAACCCGTAGGTACAAATATCACCCCTGCTTCAAATTCTTTATCTATACCTGCTCCCCTCGCTGCTAACAATGTTCAGCGAATAAATGGAGCTACCTATGCTGCTTTTGCACCGGGTAGAAATCAAAGTACTAACCAACGTAATTCTAACGGAAATTTTGAAAATTTTGTCTTAGGAAGCATTACTGCCCCTAAAATGGATTTTTACAGAAATCATTAATTGAAATGATTACTGATATATGCTTAAAACTAACTCCACGTTTGATGCTATTCAAACTGAAGTAAAATTTGCGAACAATATCGTCATGACTTTGAAATTCAGTAATGGATTTTAAAGCGATAAGTATTTTAAATTGGAATGCCCAATCTCTTAGAGATAATGAAGTCGAGCTATTTAACTTTTTGAGAGTTCATAACTTGCATATTGCTGTTATAACTGAAACGTTCCTTAGAAGGTTAAAAGGGATGCAAATTATTTCATTTATCGAAATGATCGCCCTGATGGACCTTGTGGTGGCGTTGCCATCATTGTTCATAGACGTATCAAACACAAAATTCTTTCTTCATTTGAAACCAAAGTTTTTGAAACTTTGGGAGTTTCTGTTGAAACAAAATTTGGACAACTTACGTTTATAGCTGCCTATTTTCCATACCAATGCGTAGGCCAACAAAAGAATTTTCTCAAGGTTGACCTTCAAAAACTTACCCGTCATAGGTCTAAATTCTTTATTATTGGTGATTTTAATGCAAAGCACCGCTCATGGAATTATGCTCAAAGCAATTCCAATGGTAATATTCTGTTTGATGATTGTTCTGCAGACTGTACTATTCAATATCCAAACAGCCCAACATGCTTTTCTTCAGCAAGAAATCCTTCAACTATTGATTTGGTCTTAACTGATTCATGTCAACTTTGTAGCCAAACATTCTTTTGCAAACCAAAGATGATGTTAATTATGCTCTTGAATCTCTGACTTCTTCTATAGT